ATTTCAACTTTTCAAGGTTGAATCAGAAGAGGATAAGCTGGGGGAGGAGCTTTATCTCCCTGTGACCCAGTTTTCCCATCTGAAGCCAGTTCTTGCCTTGAATCAAGGTTTTCTTGACCAGTTCACATGCTTTGAGACTCATGTCTCTGACACAGAAGGACCATGTGATGCAGAGCCTAGGCAGCCTGGGTCTGAGTCTCGGTTCTGCTACTCACTGGCTGTGTGACCTCAGGTGAGATACTTAACCTCTCTGTGCTTCAGTTTCTTTATTGGCAAAACAGGACAAATAATAATAGGAAGTATTTCATAGGGTTTCTGTGAGAATAAAATAAGTAAAGCCTTGGCAAGAGCCAGGACATGAAAAGTCACCTCAGCAGGTGACCGCAGGAATGGCCTCGTGCCCTGGCATGTGGCTAACCAGGAAGGGCAGCCATAGGAAGCCTCTTTAAAGTCACAGAGGTGATGGTCACTGTGATGGACCTCAGTGCAGATGGACAGGGTAGATTCTTGGCCTTTTCAGTGCTGACCAACCCTAAGGAAATATAATACCCATCGATTCACTTTCAGGTGGCCTTGGAGGTCTGTCCTCAAAGCAGTCCTGGACTGATTTTACATTTCCAGCTTCCAGAGGCCACCTTCCTCCAGGGCAAATCTGAAGAGTGGTACCTTAGTATTTATGCCAACAGCTCATTAGGAAGGACCCTGGATTCAAAGCCAGCTAGAGTGGGCTTTGGGTCCCATCTTTGCAGCCCATTTTCTGGTGAGATCATCCCCCCGCCCCCAGCTGGACCTGTTTCCACATCTGCAATGTGGTGTTGACTCCCGGGGCTGTTCTGTAGCTGTTTCAACGCACAACAACACACTTTACAAGCTTAAGGAGCATTAGAATTTGGGAGGGAACACCATTGTATGTTTTCTATTGCTACTGCCCCAATTGACTATGAACAGCAGTTTAAAAACAATGCAAGTTTATTATCTCACACTCTGCGGGTTAGAAGTCAGATCAGATCTCACAGGACTAACATCAGGGTGTTGGGGCTGTGTTCCTTACTGGAGGTGCTGGGAAAGAATCTGCTCCCAGCCTCACTCAGGTTGTTGGCAGAAGCCAGTTCCTTACGGTCGGTCGGTCGTAGGATGAGATTTCCCGTTTCCTTGTCAGCTGTCAGTGGGGGCTGCCTGTAGCTCCTAGGGCCTCTTAGCTCTCCTGGCCCCTGTGCATGGGCTCCTCCTGCATCTCAGAGCCAGCAAAGGCAGGCGTCTCGAACCTCACCCTTGGAAACTCCCTGACTTCTCAACCTGTGTTTCTTTTTTTTCTCCTCCTTTGCTGAATATCTTCTGATTCTCTGCTTTTAAGGGCTCATGTGATTAGATTGGGCCACTCAGGTAATACAAAGTAATCTCCCTATTTTAAAGTCCGTAACCTCCATTCCATCTGCAGAGTCCTTTTTGCCATGTAAAGCAACATGCTCACAGGTTCCAGGAGTGGGGCGTGCACAGATTTGGGAGTCATTCTGCCTACCACTAGCAAATATCTGTTGAGCACTTCTCAGGGTGAGGCACTGAGCTGAGCTCCGGGGGTATAGGGTGAACAATTCAGACTCGGCCCTCATGGAGCTTGGAGCTGCTAGCATGTGACCCCATCTGCAGGGCCTGGGACACACATGCAGGCCCACAGGCCATGCCATAAGTCTGAAGCTTTAAAATGTATCAGTCAAGCCCTGCCCACTGGGAGCAGTTTGTCCTGGGACGCCCTGGGAGCAGTTTGTCCTGGGAGGGTCCTTCCCAGGGCAGGGCAGAAACTGGGCCTGGGTCCAGGATTCCTGAGCAGGGTTGGACTTGCCCAAACCTAGGACAGGATTAATGGGGTCAAGATTCCTAGGGAGCCAGGATGGGTGGGCCCCCCTGCCTCAGGCTTCACTTTTCTGGCTCTGGTTTTCAGGCAATTCTAGTCTCCCTGTGTACCCCATGCCAGCAAAATGGCAAGAAGAAAGTCTCCTGGGGACCCCCGCTGTGGGCGTTTGGTGGCCAGCTTTACAGTCTGGGACCACCACCCCTACTGCCCACACCTCTCAGCTCCCATCTGCTGGAATGGGGTGGAGGGAGGAGGATGGGCTGTTCTGTCCTTTTCTTGTAGAGTCCCTTTGCTCAGTTGGTCACTGACCTCCTGGAAAGTATTCTTAAGAGACCAAAAAGAAGAGCATTTTGATCTGTGTGATACATTGACCCTTGGCATCACTCACCCAGTGTGGGGCCCTCTTTGCCCAGGGTGGCATTATTTCTATCTGGGGTGGCTACAGTGGTTTCTGAGCCTGCTTGCATCTGCTGCAGTCCCTTTCAGTGTCACCCGCTCCCCAAAAAAACCCACACAGGTCATCGCAACCCTCTCCCTCTTCCATAATCTTGACTGCCAATGCCCCCCCCCCCGCCACCTATGGGTCCCTCGCCCTGGCCTCCTTCCAGGCACTTCAATACACCCTGCTGCCTCACACCCCACAAGTGCAGCCTCTGCTACTTGGCCAGCACCTTCGGCCTTTTTTCATTTTCTTTCCTCCTACCTGCTTTGAGATACCAGCTGTGGGATGAGGGGGGTGGGAGGGCGTCCTTGGAGAATCCTATGCCCTTGCCAGCCCCAGGCTGAGTCCAGAGTCCTGATCTCATTCTTCAGGGAACTTACTTGGTTGGTCACCTGATGTTCTGTTGAAACATCACATTTCTCAAGTCAGCCTCGAAACTGGACTTAAGCTGGGGCAGGGGCAGGGGTGGGCATGGGGGAGTGGGCAGAATTGTAGCTCAGGGGCCTCAAGGGTCTGTGGTGGGTACTCTCCCAAGTGGCAGCTTTTTAATGACATGTATGGAGCGCTGACTGTTTGCAGGTGCGGTGCTAAGCTCTGTGCACTAATTAGCTCAATTAATCCTCACAATGATCCTGGGAGGAAGGTGCCTTTATCACCCTCATGTACTGAGCAAGAGGCTGTGGAGAGCTGACTTATGCACATGAACTTAAAGGCTAAAGACTTCCAAGGGCAGTGAGAGAAAGCAAAACCAGAGAGGGTCGTAAGTGGAGGTGTCTTTTCCAAATACCAGCTTACTCTCCACCTAGCCCTGACAATGTCCCAGCATGGGTAGTGCCATACTCCAGACTCTCCTGAATCTACTTTCTCTCTCTCTCTCTGTGTATGTACGTGATTAACCTTGGTGCATCTTCCCATGTCAGTACAGAGAAAATTATCTTCTCCATCATCCACTCCAACACCCTTTCTGGGAAGGAATGATCAGAAACATCCCAAATGCCCTTGTAAGAGCAAATATAAATAAAAAAATTAATCCTCCCTGGTACAAAGGGAAAGAAACATTCTCCCTCCCTTTATTTCGAGTATGGTCGTGTGCTGCATAACGATGATGCGGTCAATGAAGGACCACACATGACAGTTGTCCCAAAATATTATAATGGCTATACCATATAGGCTAGGTATGCAGTAGGATATACCATACAGATTTGTGTAAGTGCACTGTGAGGTTCACTCAAAGACAAAATTGTGCATTTCCCAGAATGAATCCTCATTGTTAAGCACATGACTCTTTACTTTAGAAAACTTGTAAATTCTTTGTCCCTTTAAGATGTGAGTCTTTTTAAAAGCTGAATGAATCTCTTACCAGTTTTATACTCCAGGAATGTTTTCCCCAAGGACCTGGGAGCCATCTCTTTGGGATGTAAACATCAAGGAAGATAGCACCCTTATCGCCCAGCCTCCGTGGGAGGGTGGGAACCTAACTTCAGTGCGTGGCTCCAAGTTGCAAAAACGAGTCTGTTTCCTTTGGATAAAGACAATTAGCTAACACAGGTGGCCACTCCAATTACCAGCTGAATTCAGGATGAACTATGTGACAAACGGTGCTGTCCAGTCATCGTACTAGAGGACGGTTATTTCTGCCTTTGCAGTCTTTTCAGTGGACAGTCTGCGATGCTCACTGCAGTCTCACTTAACGCTTATTCAATCATACAATTGTTTTCTTTCTCTTCTGTTTGTGGAGAGGTTTTCTAGATTAGTGGAAGATTTTATTTTTAACTTCATCCCTGACACTTTCAAATGTCTTTATCCAGAGGGCTGGTTAAAGGAACCTGCCAGCTCCACACATTACAGCACTACGCAGCTGTGACAGGGAATGAGTCTATCTCCATTTTCACTGTTGAATGAAAAGTTCAAGGTGCATAATAATTACTACTTAGTCTGTAAAAAGAAGTCTGAGAAGGAAGACTCTATATTTGTATTCACTTACATTTGCCTATTCTCTGGAAAGGTAAACAAAGAACTAATAAAAGTGCTTGTGTGTGTGTTAAGAGAAACTGGGCAGATGGGGGACAGGAGAGGGACGGAGACTTTTCCCTGCGCATCATTTTATAGTTTCTGGTTTTTGAAACATGTGACTATATTACCTATTCAAAATAAATGAAAAGGGGAGAGTGTGGTGATGGTGGCAAGCAAACAAAACAAACCACTAAAGAAAAGAAGTCCCAGGATCAGACATTCTCTAAGCACTTGTTTCTGTTCATTTTGAGCTCAGCCTTGACCTTAGAACCAACTGGAAACTGATTATATTGACACACTTTTTGGATTCACATTGGACTTCTTTGAAGGCTGATCTGAGTATAAAATCAGGGAATGTCTTTATTTAAGAAAAAAAAAAGTAAAACATAATAGCAATGACCTCTCCCATTTCGAGGTGAGGGAACAGCTTCCCCGGGTCCTCGGTGTGCAGGCCCCACAGTGTTATTACCATGGGGCATCAGATCAGAAAATGGCCTGGGAAGGCTAGCTACATGCTGGGTGCTCCTCCCTTTTAACTCTGGCAAGCCTATGAGGCAGGTGCTATTTATTATAATCTGCATTTTATGAGAGGCACAGAGAAGTCAAGTGACTTCCCCATGGTCATACCGTTGCAAGGGGGGCTCGCCCTCCCAGCTGTTTCCTGTCTAACATAGTTGGACCCGCTTCCTGCAAATCAGTTCTCTCTCAAGAGCCAAAGAAGTTCTGAACTGGTGCAATCACAGGCACCGTGACACAGAGTTGGGGGCAGGGCTGTGCCTCGCATTTCCAGGTCCTCTAGGAGGCCTGTAGCATTCCCCACAGTCCCTAATGGGACTTTGCCTTCTGGGTTCAAATACTCAGGCTCTGCCTCCCAGCTGCCAACCACTTGCTCTGTGACCTTGGGCACGACCCTGGCCCGCTCTCGGGGCCAGTTTCCAGGTGTTAGTAATGGGGGCGGGGTTGGCACCCTGTGATGGTCCACATCTCCCCAGCCGGCCTAGGCAGAGCAGTGCAGGCTGCAGTAGTCAGCGGAGGAGAAGAGCCCCAACACGTTGACCAGCGGGAACATGAGCAGGGCTCCGAGCAGCGAGCCCAGCTGCACCGCCGCCCCGCACCACAAGAGGGCGCTTCGGCTACGGTCGCGCAGGATCACGCCCAGCATCACCTTGACGTAGCTCAGACAGCCAGTGAACAGCACCCATGAGATCACCTGCGGGGATGGGGGGGGACAGATGAAGAGTAAACGGAGCTTGTGGGGTGAGCCCCAGGGGCGAAGGGCACTCATAGGGTCACCTGATAGGGCTAAGAGAAACCCACGGAATAACCTCTAAGTGCAAGGAAAACCTTGTGGGAGTGACCCTGCAGGGCTAAGTTGACCCACAAATGGCATGAGTTGACCTGCCATGAGTTGACCCACGAATGGCAAAAGAGAACTCAGTGGCTTTTCCAGCCCCGTGATCAATTCAAGGGCATCCGAGAGAAGGCCACAGCTGAGGTGCACATGGTGGGAAGAATGTGGCATTCAAGGAAGAGGCTGGACACATCACCTCAGTTCCTGAAGCCTCCTCTCCCAAATGAAGAGCAGGCCCTCCCACCTGGGGCTTCCTGAGAGCACCACAGAAACTTTGACCAATAGAAGGGGCTGTGCCTGGGGTTTCCCCAGGCTTTGGCTAAGACATGGGGGGCTTGGGAGGGCGGAGCAGCCTCACAGGCCAGGTACTTACGATGAGGACTTCTCCACCCCAGTGGCCCTGCATGAGGGGGCAGGGGCTCATCACTGCCATGGCCATGTTGTAGGCCCCAAAGCCAGTCCCAAGTATCGCAAGGACCCCCAGGAATGGCAGCGACCTAGAGTAGAGTTGGGGACGTAAGCAGAGGAGGTGAGAAGCCTGATCTCTGCCCTCTGCATCCCCAGGGGCCATGTGGAAAATTCCAGGCTACCTGGCTCAAGTGGGTCAGCTGGCTCCTGAGGGGCAGGAGTGGGTGAGTCACTGGGACTGTTAAGGGCAGGGCCCAGCATCCCAGCAGAAGAAACAAAACAGACTCTGATGCCAGATGGACCTGGTTCAAATCCCATCATTTAAGCTATGAGACTGGTCCCTGAGCCTCTGTTTCTTCACCAGCAAAATGGGAGTCTTGCAGGTCTGTGGTAACCTATAGGAGCAGTGTGCAGGGCCTGGCTCCAGCCGTGGGTCCCACCTGGTTTTGTGTCTGCTGCCATTTCCTCCTGCAACACCCCCAGCTTCAGCCAGGAAGCCAGGCTGATGAGAAGGTGCCTTTGATCTCGGTACTGGCACTGCAGGGTGTGCTGTGACCTTGGGTGACCTCTGTCTGCAACACGAGGTTAGCATGATCTCTAGGGGCCCTGGCCAGCAGCTAGCTTGGCTGCGCAGCATCACTCTACAGGGGACCTTCCATGCAGACCTTAGGTTGAACTAAAGACACTGCCTTTCATTTGAGGTCCTTATCCCTGGGGTCCCACTATCCACAATCTCCAGAACACCAAGACTGCTCTGACCCCTGGGTGAGAGTGAAGAGGACTTCCTCTGCCACTAAGGCCTCTTTCTGCTCCAAAATTCGTGGATTCCATAACTCTCAGATTCTGTATTCCAAACAGATCCTGCAGGTCTAGGCCGCTGGTCTTACTTCCCCATATATTCCCATCTTCCCTCCAGGGCTTTTAAGCCCCAAGAGAGAAAAGCCAGCTTCCTGGTGCACTGACATGTTCTGTCCTAACTCTCCTGTCCTCACTCTCCTCCTTCCTGGGCTGGGCGAGGTGAGTGTAAGCAGGTCTGAAAGGCCAGCGAGGGCAGGCAGGACAGAGGGGTGGACAGGAGGCTGTAGGACCTAAAATTTCAAGATCCCAAGGTTTCTCCGATGAGGATCTGAGGCCCCTGCATCAGAACCGCTTGAGCATATTAAAAATTGAAATCCCAGGTCCCAATCCAGGAAGTACAACTAATATTACCTCCATTTTTCCAGATAAATATCTCTGAGGCACAGAGAGGTCAAGTGACTTGTCCAATATCACACTGCCAGTAAGTGGCAGAGCTGGGATTTGAACCCAGGCAGTGGAGCTCCAGAAATCATGTTCTTAACCACCACCCACACAGCCCAGGAGGTATGAACAGTAGAATTTGGGGTTCTGGAACAAGGTGCTCCCCAACCCAGGGTTCCCCAGGGCCAGACCTGTTAGGCAGGAACATGGAGAGGAAGCAGGCGAGGGGGTTTGCCATGGAGCTGAGGGTGGCGGACAGGTGGTAGGCAACAGGCCCGTAGGACAGGCAGGAGTAGGTCTGCACTGAGGGCAGCACGCCGTTGGTGAGTGCGTTCACAAAGGCCACCAGGACATAGATGAAGGCCAGGTACGCTGGGTGGTGGGGGACCACTTTCTCCTCCAGATGCCCCTGGCCCTTGCTGCTGTCCACCGGGCCTAGGGGGCCCAGCGCCTTCTCCTCCCGTGGCCGGATGGAGTGCAGGGTGACCTGGGAGCTGAGGAGGTCTTCCACGGAGCTTTCCCAGCGCCTGGGCTGACGCTGGAGGAGAAAGAAAGCGACGAGGCAGCAGGCCATCATGAAAGAGAGCAGGAGAAAGAAGACCAGGGGTGAGAAGTGGGCAGGGAGGTAGCGGCTCTGCAGAGAGACCACGGGGGCTGACGTCCAAGGGAGGTCAGGGCCAAGGGTGCTGTGAGCTCCCTGGGGAAAGACAAGAAAGGGCCAGTCAGATGCCTGGGGAATGTCAGAATGCAGGTAACAACAACAATATTGACGATAGTGAGAAAACAGAATACAGGTGAATTGCTGTTAATAAATAACTGATACACAAATAACTAATAAGGTAATAATAAGAATTGCTTGCACTACTGACTGCTCAATGAACACCAGCACTTTGCATGCATCAGCTCTGGGTCCTCCTAACTGCCCTGTGCATGGGGCCCACTATCCCTCGTTTTAGAAGGAATTGAGGTCAGAATGGTTTGTTACTTATCTGAGGGTCATGGGGAGTTTGCAGCAAAGCCAGTCCACCTGGTGCTTTCTGAGTTGGAAGCTATACCTTTTACCACTCTACTTTCCCACAGGGGTGGCATCCACAATTACGTTCAGAGGAGGGGCTAGCCAGGGACTGGAGAGCTGTCCACCCTAAAGGCTGCCTCCACCCAAGGTCACCTTAGGGCAAAGTGGCCTGGTGTGGCCAGATCTCTTTTCAAGAGATGTCACACACCTAGATTTGTATGCTAGCATGTGAAATTTCAAAAATTTAAAATATCAACTCTTTCAAACACACAAAAAATGCTTGCGGGCCAGTGTGGTTTGGGGCCACTGCTGCTGTTATGCTGTTTGGTTTGGATGATTCCAGACATATGTAAATTGTCCAATATCCACTGATAAAAAGTTTGAAGTTTTAAGAACATGAGGAATCAAAATAAGGTCTAAAGTCTATGGTTCTCAACCCTGGCTATGCATGGGCATCACCTGGGGAATTTTGAATAAACATAAGTTCACAATCCCTTATCTGCAATTCTGGAATCCAAAAAGCTTTGAAAATCAAAATGTGTTCATGAGTCAGTTGGTAGCAACAGTTGAGTGGATTTGAGGCTGTTTATAGCCCTCATCTAATCTACCCACTGGGCGTGAATGCTGACAGGAAGTGGTGTCACTGCGCTGGATTGCTGGGTCACCGGCACCACCGCAGCCGCGGGCCAGGGTAGGCATGCTCTATCACCTAAAACTCCAGATTCCAAAACAAAATCTGACCCTGAGGATTTCAGACAAGCCCCCTCTGCAGAGAGTCTTATTTAACTGGTCTGGATGTGTATGGGGCCCACTGGTATGTTTCAGCAGTTCCCCCAGGTGATCTAAAAGGCAGCCAGGTCAAGAGCGCTGGTCTAGCACCGTCTAGGAAACAGGAGCCTTCCGCATGATGGCTCTTGTGTTAGCGCTTAGGACACACCACCCCCAAATAGGACTGTAGGATTCCAGAAAATGCCACCCCCAAATAGACATCTTGGGTACATCTTGATTATTTTGAGCTGGTTATTTTGAGAAACTGCACACTCAGGTGTAGCTCTGAAAAGTTGCGTTTTTGTAAAGGAAATTTACATCTATAAAGGAAATTTACATTAGTAAAGGTATATATACCAGGAAGAGAAAGGTGACAACCGTTATCACGGAAAGCCTTTTATCTGTGTAACAAGACAATGTCTAGTCACTATGCATTTTCTCCCTTCGCCCTCCCTCCAGCGCCTATTCTTTTCTGTAGCTCAGGAGGCTATAAGCTTCAGTCATCGGGCCCTTCTTTGAATCTCATGTTTGTGGGCCTCTGAGTGTACGTACATAATTCAAATGGATTTTCTGCTGTTAATCTGCTTATGTGAATTCAATGTGTAGACCAACCAAAGAACCTAGTGGGGCAGAGGGGAGCAAATGTTTGCCCTCCCTGCACTTGCGATCAAGCACAGAGTGCTGTGACATGGCTCTGGTAACGCTGGGTACCTGTGTGATGTTGGTCTTCCTGGTGGTCACAGGGCTTGGGGTGGTGTCTGATGTCTCAGTGACGTTGACGCAGGTGGTAAGACCCGAGCCTTGGGCAAGAGCCACCAGGGCAGGCAGGAGGCCGCTGAATCCTTCACCCACAAAAAAGGTGGTGAGGTAGTGTGTGGGCAGCCGGCTCATGAAGGGCAGGAAGGTGACAGAAGAGGTGCAGTCCACCAGGGCCAGGAGGAAGGTGAGGACCATGAAGGTGACACTGTGGGGACCACCCAGCACCCAGGAGGTCACATTCCAGAGGAAGGCAAAGAGGATGCATGCAATGGTGCCCACAACCAGCACGGTGAAGATAACAGGCACCTCGGAAAGGCAGCCAGGACAGAAGTGATGGAGCAGGGTAACCAAGAGGGGGCTGACATTGGCCAGCTGGATGATCACTGTGAGGTAGGAGGGCAGGTACCAGCCCTCAGGCAGCTCCGTCACCAGTAGGGGCAGCTCTACCCAGAGCCCATTGATGGCCACCCAGGAACCCATCCCGAAGGTGCAGACCAGCAGGTGCATCAAGAAGGCCATGGTGGTGTCTGCCCTGGGCCAGAGGCTGCGGCCTCCCCAGACCAGTCTGCCGCGGAGCTGAAGGAGAAAAACACCGGGTGAGCAATTTCAAGTTCACTGCCTAGTGAGGGACTGTGCTTTTGGGCCCAGGGTTTTTCTCTTATCACTCTCCTCCCTAGGAACAAGCTGGCTTTTTAATTAGCAGAAAACAGAAATTTTTTATAACTATCCTTCAAGTGGGTTAGGTTTTCTTAACCATGACTCATAAATCCTGGTGCCACAGGAGAAAAGTTTGATACATTCAAGTGCATAAATGTTAAAACACAGGAAAACAAAACAAAGAAAACGACTTCTGCAAAAAATACCAACAGCAAGGTCAAAGACAAAAGACAACCTGGGGGGAATATTTGTAACATAAATCACAGACAAAAGGCCTCATCTTCATAATATAAAAAGAAATTTTAGAAGTCGAGAACAAAAAGACCCAACAAAGAAGCGGGCCAAGGACATGAACAGTTCAGAGAAAAAAGTACAAATAAGCCTTAAACATAAGAAAAGATTGTCGCCTTCATTCACAACGGGAAAACAACCCAGAAGTGCCACTTCTCACCATGAGTTTGTCCCAGAGCCAAAGGTTACCTGCCCTGGACAAAATGAGTTAAGTACGAGATTATTATTCATTGTGGCCTTGTTGATAATGAGATGGGAGGTGCTCAGTCTCCCTGGGTTCGGGTTTCTGGACACACCTCTGGGTTTCAAGCCACTCCCTGATGTCTCAGACCCCTCCTCGAGGCCCTCCCCTAGAGGAGAGTCACTGTTGCTGGTTGGTTCTATTTTTGGCACCAACTTGGGGAAATTGAGACCTCAAGGGGCTGACCTATCCAGTGGCTGGGCACGATCCCTAGAAAGGGGTTATATAACCCTAATAGCCGATCATGCTCAGCAGAGTGGAATTTATATTCATTAGACAGCACAAATATGTATTAGACAGCAAAACTATAAAAGTGTGATCCCAAGGGCTGGCTTGTGGCTCACTGGGTGAGTGTGGTGCTGACAACACCAAGTCAAGGGTTAAGATCCCCTTACCCGTCATCTTTTTAAAAAATATAAAAGTGGAACCCCGGCAGAAGGCGGGCTGCTGCTCACTTTCCTGGGGCCACCCCGTGCTTCTCTGGCTGAGGGGCTGTACCCTTTCTTTTCGTATCAAACGTACTTTTAGTAAGAGGCTGATTCACTCTCGTCAGCCAGCCTGCCCTTTGTGCTAAACTTTAAGTATTTCTTACTTTTGTATTAAACCTGGCGCGGGTCCTGCTCAGTCTCTGGAGCTAGGCCACACTCTGTCTGTGAAATCTGTATCTCTTATTCATTACATTAAACCTGTTCTCACTTTCTACTGTGACTCTGCCCTTGAATTCTTTCCTGTGGCAGAGTCAACAATCTGCTAAGAGGATGGGGTGGGTTGAGGCCGACTATTAGGCCTCCCAAGAGCTTCTCTGGCATCAGTTGATAGCAAAACATGGGAGACAACCCAAATTGCCATCAACAGAGGAAGGGCTTATTAAAGGGACTGTCTACCTGCTGGACCAAACACCTGTTTAAAGGAAAAAGGAATGAGAAAAGCAACCGGCTGATAGGGAAAGGTCTCCAGGCTATGTTGATAAGTGAACAAAATCAAGGTAGGTAAACAGCGTATCGCCTTATTAATGCAGAAGAGGAGGAGGTAAAATATGTTCTCTTTGCTTGGATTTGCATAAAGCAACCCTTAAAGGACACACAGGAAATGCTGGGTATACATATCTTTTTATATAGTTTTGATCTGCTAACGATGTGAACATATAAAAATATGGTTGCCTGAAATAAAATTTCAATCTGGTTTTCTTTTGAAATTATAGAACTCTCTAGCTGGACAGGCCTTTGAAGACCACCTACTCTACCCTTCCAGAACTATTCTGCCATCTGTTTCCCACCTTCCCAATTACCAGTGTCACTCCACCTGTGCTGTCCCTTAGTCTAAGCCAAAATATCAGAGAAGCCAGATGGTCCTGGAGCCAGCTGCTTGGGCTTGACCCCAGCTCTGCCACTTACTAGCTAGGTGACTCTGGGCAAGTGACTTTGCCTCTCTGTGTCTCATTTCCCTCATCTGTAAATCGAGGACAATGATAATATGAACCTTATGGTTTCTAATGAGATGTAAATATGTTAGTGAGTTTATGTTGTTTTAAACGGTGCCTGGCACATAGTAAGCATTCACTAAGGGTTAGCTCTTATTATTGTGAAATGCCAGGTTTGGCAACATAGTTGTTTTTCTTTTTTCCCCTTACTAATTTACATAAGAATTAATACATGACTGGTAAGATTAAAAAAGGAAAAAGATTCCCCCATGAGGCACCAACTGAAATCACCAGTGGTATATGCATCATGTGAGAGACATGTCGGCTGGGCCAGTCACCTCCTTTTATAGAAGGGAGACAGGGTCCAGAGCAGTGGAGGGGCTCTGCTGAGGCCGAGGTGGGATTTGGAGGTCACCTGCAGCAGGCAGCCTGCCCAGGGTGGTGTTGGGACCCCTCAGCTCACACATCAGTCTTTCTAGTACATGCAGGAGTGTCCTTTGTGGCTACACCCCACCCAGGAAACTCCAACACCCCGGCAGCTCCTCTCCATGGTTCCCAGGGCCTGAACTCCCTTCCTTCTACCTCCACTGAGGAAACCCAGTCCTCAGGTGCCACCATGGCCACCCCCCTACCTCTCAAGGAACGTGGTCAGACCTGCTTTCAGTCCTGCTCCACCACCTTCCTTCTGGGGGCCTTACGCAAGTCACTGCAGCTCTGTTTTCTCACTTAGGAAGCTGACCTAACAGCCTGGCTCTGGTGAGCCAAGAAGACCCACAGAGAGAGGGGAGGCCCCGGGCAACACCCTTCCGCGTTCTTCCCTCCCCACCTTTGCCTGTGCTGTCCTCCTCATCAGAGATCCTGTCCCCAGCACACCTCCTTGGGCTGCCCAGCCTTCACAGGTGTCCTCACCTGTGCCCGATGGTCCCTTCATTTAAGGTTTTTCTTGTGTGGAGATATGAAGATATCTGGAGACTGAAGCTCTATGAGGGCAGGGGACTGATTTGGAGTCTGGCATTGGAAAGGTGGAGGGCTCTTCTCAATGATTTAGCTCAGGATTTATAAATTGGTAACTCACTAGCCAAAGCCAGGCAGCAGACATGTTACTTTGGTTTGCTCAGTGTTTTAAACAATTAGTTACTGGAAACCGCAAGTCAGGAGATGGAATACAAGGTTCAGGATTTCTGGTTTCTCAGGAATATTTTGGAAGACCTGGCCACACCAGCTTGCATGCCTACATGGCAAAAATCCCTCTTGCCTTCATTAATTTAGGCCCTCCCCTGCCCCTCTCCCCCAAGACCCCCTAGGCACTGCAATTCCTGATTAAGGCCAGCCCTTATGTTTGGAGGGAGATGTGGCTTGTGCAAGATCCGTCACTAGCTGGGGGTAAAGCAGGGGCTGGAGTTCAGTCTTTGACTCTCTCAGTCCCAGACTCTGAGCATGGCCTCCGGTCAGCTTAGTGCTCTCCCTTGAAGTAACACCCAGAAGCAGACACTTGGGTTCAAATCCCACCTTCAATCCTTACAAGCTGAGCAAGTGTGCCATTCTGCTATTCCTTCCTCCTGCCATCTGGAACTCAGATGTGATGGCCTCCAGCTGCCATTTTGTACTATGAGGGATGGGGTGGAGGCTAGATGGGGACTGGACTCCCTAGGGATTTTGTGGCAGACAGCAGCCATACCAGCTCTGTTCTGCACTATTTTGTTTGTTTAATGTTGTTGTTGAAGTTATAAATAAACCTCTATCTTGTTTAAGTCACCCTTATTTTATATACAGCAAAACACTGGCTAAGTGTACAGAGACTTATGTTCAAGGATGCATATTGACTCATTGTAGTAACTAAAAACTAATGAATACATTTACCTCCTTTACCACCTATGCCCTGACTCAGAAACTCAGGTCCTGTCCCCACCAGGATTTGATCGAAAATCAAAATCTAACAAAAGTAGTTGTTTAGACAACACCTTAAAAAAAACACTGAGAGATTATGAGAAAACTTGGGGGCAAAGGTCTTCCAGAGAAAAAAAAAAAAAAAAAAAAAAAAAAAGAAAGAAAGAGAAAGAGGGAGGACGGAACAACGAGTTCTCCACATGGAGTCTGAAGACCCAGAGTCATTTCATATTGATAAGGACTATAATTCATAAAGGAGTCATAACTATAGTATCTCTGCTCTGAATAACATTTCCCAAAATCGTCTCAGACATGCCAGCAGACAGGGATAAGAGCCCCGTGCAGTGGTGCATTGACTCACCGTTCTAGGTCACGACGGCAGAAGTACGAGCAAAATAAACAAGGATGTGGAAGAGGCAATGAATGGCACACCTAATAAAAAGAAGTAAATAATTAAACGGAGGAAGCAAACTTGCAGAAGATGGTTACCTTTGCCATCTGAAAAGCTATTAAGCTAATAAGAAGGCCCAGCAAGGTGTTCAGTTACACATTTGCAAACATCGGTAGCTGTCCCCCAGAGGGCAGCCACAGGGATGGGAAGGGGCTGCAATCGGCACTAGGCATCAAAAGCCCAAATCTCCACTCCCCACAGGGCCGAGTTCTCTGGGTTCTGACCCAGGCTCACCATGGCTGTGTAATCGAGAGAAGTGATTTGGCTCCGTGAGTCTCTGTTCCTTTATCTGGAAAACAGGCAGGCTGGTGGTGTGGCCCAGCAAGCCCCATGCCCCTACCGTCCACTGCCCTTGTCTACTCCCCAATTACCTCCTGTTTCTCAAAAGTGCCACGTGCCCCTGGACTTGGGGGACACAGCGAGGAACAGCCACCAATGACAACGAAGGGCATGGTCTAGGCAGAGGGAACTACATGTACAAAAGGCCTGGCTATTTCAGAGAACTGAGGAGAGACTCAGAATGGCTGATGCTCAGTGTGTTGGGGATACTTTTAAAAGATGCATCTACATTTTCTATTTTTTCTACAATGACCTTGCAGTCTTGTTCATTCATTTAGCCAGTATTTATGGCACACCTACTATATGCTGGACAACAATCCCTGCTCTCAGGAATGTGCGGGAAGCAGTCACTAAGCACAATAAAGACAGAAATATGGAGCAGTCAGCTGGTGGCAAGGGCTGCAGAGGAAAGCAAAGCCGGGAGGGCAGGGAGAGCTGCTGCAACCTTCAGCGGGGTGTGGAAGGAAATGCAGGAGGGATCCATGTCTGGGGAAAGAGTGGTCCAGGGAGGAAACAGCAAGTGCAAAGGCCCTGGGTGGGACTTAACTGCCACAGCCCAGAAACAGATCTTGGTGTTCAGAGAACAGGTAGGAGGCCAATGTGTCTGCAGCAGTGGGAGTGAGAGGCACAGGGAAGGAGACAGGGGCAGGTCACCTATGGCCCTGTCAGTGAGACTGGCTGTTGTGAGAATAAGGAGGAAGCAGGAGTGAGCCTGTTAGCCAGTTAGGAGCTGCTGTGATGACATAGATGAAAAAGATACCAATAACAACAACAGCTGCCACTTATCAGCTGTATATCATGCCAGGCCCTGTGCTAAAGCTCTTTACACACGTTATCTATAAAATCCTCTCAACAATCCTGAGGTAGGTATTATAATAAAACGATTACCTCCATTTCACAGATGAAGAAGCTGAGGCTCAGAGAGGGAAAGGAATTTGCTTGAGGTCACACAGCTCTGTCAGCCTAGGAGCCGAGATTTGAGCCCAGGCATGTCTGACTGCGGACCCAGCCCTCTTCGGCAGCCTGGGGTAAGGGGTTATGAAGAGGCTGCAGGGGCCTCACTGAGCAGAGTGGTTTTCCACTTGCTGCCAGCCTCTGTAGTGTTGGGGCGTGGGAAGCAGAGAAATGGGGCACAGGCCCAGGAGAACCGAGAGAGGTTCTAAGACAAGTCTGCTTCCCAAGAATCCAGGGCCCCTTCTGTGATTATGGGAGACCAGAAACCTAAGATGCTCCACAATGGGTGGGCAAACAGAGAAACCAGAAGGGTCAGTTCTAGGCAAAGGTGTCTCTTGCTTTCTTGCATCAAAAGCTGAGTGTCTCGGGCCCTAGAAAGTGAAGGGAGTTGGTAGTAGAGTTCTGTGCAGGGCCAGTGCACCCTCATTGTGTGGCTGGGCCATCTCCTCCCCCATCCTGCCTGACCTTGACCATCAAAGCCCAAGCAGCTTATGCCCCCGGCACTCTCCTGCACTCTGCTTTACACCTTCATAGTATTATCGGACACCAGCTCAGTTACAGGAGTTTATCTGAGTCTATCTGTTGAGCGTTGATCTCTCCCACGGGAGTGTAATCTCCATGTGAGCAGGGCCTGGTCCTTTCCTCCAGTGCCCAGGTGACCAACTGGCTTGCCAAAGGTGGGCCACCGGACCCTCTGGCATTGTGGTCGTATTCTCACTCTGCAGAGACAGGCTGGCAGCTGGCAGGCACCAAGCCCCGTGGGCCAGACTGGAGAAAGCCTGCCTCAGATATGTGGGCTGAGTCAGTGAGAGTGGCCCCCAGGCAACGCCAGCTGACAGCCTGGGCACTGGACGCATCCTGCTCCTGGGCAAGTGTCTGAGTTAACATTGTCTTAGGTTCCAGGCTCCTGGAGAACTTGGTAAGTCCTGCAGGCTTCTGCTTAGAGGCCGGACCTGGCCTCACTTAGTAAGACTGGGCAGGATTGGCTTGGCATTGTGCTGATAGCTCTATTGGTTCAGGTCAAAACCAAAAAGCCTAGAGGGAGAGATGGGGAGATAAAAGAGAGCGAGAGAGGAAAGTGAGATACAGAGAGGAAGAACCAAAAGCTACAAGCAGAAATGGGCAGAAAGAAAGACGCGGGACGGAAACAAGAAAAACGAGGAGCTGAGGCTGAGAAGGAGGCGAGCAGGGTACAGGCGGCGGAGGAGTGGTTGTGTGCGGGAGCCCGTGCCCAGCTCAGCTGCCCTCCTGCTGACATCCACGTGTGTCAAGAGCAGTTCTCCACCTCTCCATACCTTGGACCATAGAATTCCCCCAGAACTCATCCCAACTCAACGTCCCCATCCCATACATGTGGGGAAACCAAGGCCCAGAGAGGAGGGGGTACTTGACCACACCCTGCCCATCCCCAGTCTCAGACCGTGGCAGTCATCCTGGCCTGTGCTCCCTGGCTGTGTGACTTCAGGCCAGCTGCTCACCCTCTCTGGGCCTTGGTTTCTCTGTCTGGGAAAGGGTCTGGAAATGCCCAGGCTTGCTGGGCTCGGCTGCCAGCGAGGAGGGAGGGGGAAGCTCAGGCTGGCCTGTGAGACCGGACGTGAGTTCTCTTCCTCCTTCCCCTCCCTCCCAGGGCCAGGAAGGGCGTCAGGACTCCCACGGGACTGGCCTTGGTGGAACCTCCCCCAGGCCAGTTGCTATTCCCTCTGTGCCCATCCCAACCCCTGTGCCAAGCTGGTGAGGCTCAGCCATCTTGTTGTCCCCATGGCTTGAAGATGCAGCTGGGCAGAGGTGAGTGCGGGCCCAGGCTTTTGGCCACACGAGAGGTCTGGGGTCTGCAAAGCCGACTCAGCCTGTCCTTACTGTAACCAGCTGATGAGGAGGCCCTTCTTCCTTCTTGTCCCTCTGGCCTATCCCGACCCAACCCTGCAACCTAAAGCTAGGGGAAAGGCCATGAGCCACCTGCTAACCCCAGCAAGTGCCCCGCCCTCGGTGCCCCGTGCTCCCAGCCAGCGGTGGCCCAGGAAGTGCAGCTGTGCCCTCACAGACCTGAGCCACCCAGTTCTGCCCTCTTACCTGCTGGTGCAGTTCTCCAGCGGCTCTGCATGGGAGGGGCTGGAGGCAGCTCGGTTAGTATTAACCTGTCCCCGCCCAGAGGTGGGGGAAAGGCAGGCGGAGGGTGGGGGAAAGGGAGGGGGGGTGGGGCTCCCAGTGTGAGCCTACTGTGTGCTGGAATCTGCCCTGCAGACTGGCTAGGAGGAGAATCCTGATGATACAACAGCAACAACAAAGTGCTCACTTTAGTGAGTGCTTTCTGCCATCCAGATTTTATGAGGGTTAATCCCCACAGGGTGAAAGACCTGCCCAAGCAGCTGGCTCTGGCCCTACCCTGGGGCCTTTTGCACAGGAATGAGGCAGGTGCTGCTTTTATTCCCTACTTTACAGATGGAGAAACTGAGGCTCATAGAGGTTAAGCAACTTGCTCAAGGTGCTATAGCCGGTAATTACAGGACTGGAATTTGACTCAAACTGGCACCTACACAGTGTAAAATGCACCTAGTAACTGCTCATTGCATGTTGACTTCTAGGAATGATTCTGGCCTGTTTTTTGTGTTATTCTCCAAGATATTCATTTATTTAATGAGTGATCAGTCTCCAGGCAAAAGCTTGGGAGGAGAGGTGAGCAGATGCTGGGGAAGGAGACCAGATCCCTTGCTTAGCAGGCAGGGGCTCAGGACACCACCCCCAAAATATTACTATAGGAGACCAGGATGTGCCACCCCAAAATATACTTCTTTGGCATATTTTGAGCTGGTTCTTCTGAGAAACTGCAAACACAGAAGTAGCTAGCTCTGAAAAGCTGTCCTTTTGTAAAAGAAATTTACATTTATAAAGGAAATCTACATTAGTCGAAATACCTGTCTCAGGAAGAGGGCTGCTCCAGGCAACTTTCATTACCTGAGAGACTTTTTATCTGCATAAGATAACCTTTATTCACCATACCGTTCCTCCCCACACTCTCCACCCCCCCCCACCCCCCCGAGAAGCTCCAGGCCCCTATTCTTTTCTGTAGCTCAGGATGCTTCAATCATCTGACCTTTCTTGAGTCTCATATTTTGTGGGACTCTCATGTGTATGTATGTAATTAAAATGGTTTTTCCCCTGTTCATCTGTCTTATGTCAATTTAATTTGTAACTCAGCCAAAAAACCTAAAAGAGGGCCGGCCTGTGGCTCACTAGGGAGAGTGTGGTGCTGATAGCACCAAGGCCCCGGGTTCGGATCCCATATAGGGATGGCTGGTTAGCTCACTGGCTGAGCGTGGTGCTGACAACACCAAGTCAAGGGTTAAGATCCCCTTACCGGTCATCTTTAAAAAAAAAAAAAAATTAAAAAAAACAAAAAACAAAAATCCTAAAAGGGTGGAGAGAAGCCATTTTCCCTAACCCTACAGTACCAAATAATTTAGGTCTCAAGGACACAAGCATTTCCTCCCTATGGGAGCCTGGAATGCTTGTCCTGCACCAGCATTACAGCAGTGAGGTGCTCCTGGCCCCAATTTCTCCCTCCCAACTCTGCCAGGAAGTTCCCCCTCAAGTCTGACTCGCATCTCTGCTGCTGTGTTTTCACCTCCAGCCATCTTCTCACAGATGCCTCTTATGTTACTTTTATTTTTATTTATTTATTTATTTTGGCAGCTGGCCGGTACAGGGATCCAAATCCTTGATTTATTTTTGATTTAAAAACACATCCTAACCACCAGCCTTCAAAGACTCCCGTCACTCACCAAATTAAGAAAAATGCTTAAGCCTCACATTTAAGTCTTTTCTCAGCTGGAACTGATAAACCTTGACAAGTCTATCAATTGCTCTTTCTTATACATAGCCTTCGCTACTGACAGCCAGAACTGCTTCCCATTCTCCAAGAATTTATAGTACATCTGACCACCAAAATTTCCATACCGATCCTTCTATTAGAATATCCTTTCTGCACCCATTTCTTTCTGGCATGACCTGCATATTTCAAAGCCAACCTCAGCTGGCCGGTTAGCTTGGTTGGTTAGAGCATATCTTTATAACACCAAGGTCGTGGGTCTGGATCCCCCTACCGGCCAGCTGCCAAAAAACAAACAAAACGAAACAAAATTAACAGGTGTAAAGCTTCTGAGCTGGCCGTTAGCTCAGTTGGTTAGAGCATAGCTTTATAATGCCAAGGTCATGGGTTTGGATCCCCTACTGGCCAGCCACCAAAAAGAAAACAAAGTTGAAATGTTTCAAAGCCAATCTCAAATGCCACCTCCCTCAAGGAAGCCTTTCCTGATATCTGTATCTATTATAAACAGTAAATACTGGGAGCCTAATAAAAGTTTGGTGAATACGTGAGTGAATCCCAACTAATATATTCGCTCCTTCCTTGTAATCTCCAGAAATTTGTGTAACCTTTGTTGTTGTTTATTTAATGGACTATTATTTTGAGCAGTTTTAAGTTTGCAGAAAAACATCCCACCCACGTTATTTACACAGGGGGGCACACACACACATATTCCTAAGCTTGCTTTTTTCACTTCCTATCTCCTAGAGATCTTTCTATGTCCCATACATCGAGAGCTTCATTCATTGGCTTCTTTTATTCATTCGAATTCATTCATTCATTCAACAAATTGTCAGCTCTGTCAGGCACTATGAGCTATAAAACTGGGATATAAAACTTGGGGCATAAAACTGAACAAATCAATTGGTTAGAGCGTGGTGTTCAGCTCCCAAAGACCTGGCCACTCCTGTTCAGAGCCCATGTGAGTTCCCCCTCGGGCAAACATCATCCTACACTGGTCACTGTGCACTCCCTCAGGGCAGGGCTTGCTTCATCCTCCTCCTGTCTCTGTCACCAGCCCCCTCCAACCCCCCCCCCCCCCCCCAAAAAAAAAGAAAAAGAAAAGGAAAAAATAAAACCGAAGTCCTTGTCCTTGAAAACCTTGCATTCTAGTGGCAGGAAATGGACAATACACATAATCAATAAAGAAATTACTTAGTATGTTATGTGCTCTGTAGAAAAAAAGAGAACCTGAGAGCCGGCCAGCGGAGGCGCGGCGCAGATCTGAGGGCGGAGCCGAGCCGCCGCCGCTCGAGCCGGGACACCGAGGACGGCCACCGGGTCGTGTCCCGAGTGCACCCTACATGCAGCATGCCCCTGTTGTTGCATTTTTTCTTTCGGTCGGTCGGCCGGTGCAGGGATCGAACCCTGGACTTTGGTGTTATCGTGCACGCTCTAACCCGCTGACCTAGCCGGCCAGCCCCTCCGGTGACGCATTTAGTAGCAGAAAACTTTTAAACGCACAACACACAGAGAAATCATCACCTTCTATAGAAAAAAAGCCGGAGGCCAAGAGGAGGCGAACAGAGAGGAGAGAGAAGGTAAGTTTTCCAGTAAATAAAGATTTAGCAAACAGAAAAGAGGTCTCGAAGTATGTCGGACGAGGAAGAGGAAGACCTAGAGTGTTTCTGCCAAAAAACACGAGGAATAAAGAGGGAAACAGGAAAAGGAAATGGACATCTAGGCTGGCCTTTGTAATGAAAAGATTTTCGTGTTTTCAGTCTCCGTGGCAGACATAAATAGAAAAATTATGAAAGACTTACTCGGCGACACTTGTCTGCAATCTGTGGAAACTTTCTTCAGAATGACATCAGCAAATTCTCAAACCGTTATGGACTCTCAGGAGCATTCTGGCTGCATCAATAAAGGGACCATTGATTGTTTTTTCCCCTATCTTTTAGCCTGCACCACACTTTAGGAGCAAAGTTGTAGGCTTGGACTGTTCTGGGATTTCCTTGTTTACCAAGGAGTATTATCAGTGTTTTCTGTTTGGGATATAAGTGTATTTACCCCCCGCCACCCAAAAGCTGGGTGGATGTTAAAGTATAAAAAGGGGTAGGGGTGGGGTGGAGGTATGAAAACTAGGGAAATAAAATGCTTGATAGTTTTCAGGTTGGCCACCAGAGATGCAATATTTTAAAATATTGTCAGGAAGAGTGGCTTTTAAAAATATATATTTCAGATTTTTAGCACTAACAGATTGCATGTATGCAGTTCATTTGCTTTTTAGTAAATTATTGATGATATTTTACTGAATGGGGACTTAAGAACATAAACTGTAAATTTTGTCTTAAATTGTTTTTTTCTTTGACCTTTATTTTTATGACTTAAGGTATGAGTTATATTTTAGGAGATACTTTCTAGTCAGATTGGAAATTTGGGTGCTATATGAAGAAAAACATTTAAGGATATATCATACTTAAGATATAAACACGTTTTCTTTCTTTCTTTTTTTTAAAGATGACCGGTAAGGGGATCTTAACCCTTGACTTGGTGTTGTCAGCACCACGCTCACCCAGTGAGCCAACTGGCCATCCCTATATGGGATCCGAACTTGTGGCCTTGGTGTTGTCAGCACCGCACTCTACCGAGTGAGCCACGGGCCGGCCCCTATAAACACATGTTCTTGAATGTAATTTATGTATTGGTTAAAAAAACTTCTCTGGGCTGGTTGGTTAGCTCACTTGATTAGAGCATGATGCTGGTAACACCAAGGTCAAGGGTTTGGATCCCCTTACCGGCCAGCCACCAAAAGGCAAAGAAATCTCTCTGCTCTCAGTATGGTGCCTGTTAATCTAAACATAAAATATATTTATTACATGCAAAATATCTCTTAGCCACTTTTAAACGGTAACGTTTCTTCTGGATGAATGTTCATTCATACATCCTGATAATTATTTAAGTTGTTACTTAACCTCAGTCTAGAAGAAAAAATAAACCTTAATATTGTTACCGACAGGCCAGGCTCGGCTTGCCCTCTCGCACTAAACAAATAACCTGAAAGTCCAAAAGTTGAGGCAAGGTTTATTCAGATTACCAGTACTCAACTAAATGTCTAACCAAGCAAACAAACAAAGAGAAAAGAGGAGCAGTGGGGTCCGGTTTAGCCTAGTCCTAATCGGCAGGGCCAACCTATTCCATTAACAGTAATTGATAAAAGCAGTTCTCCCCACTGTTTTCAGCATAAAGAAAAGTATCGACTAGATTTAAATCAGAAAAACAAAGCACAGGCAGGAGCC